TGCGGCACCATCCACAGCAAGACCGAGCGATCGAAAATGGGCAACGGCTCTACTGGGCGCACGCCCGCCATGTTCTTCAATCCAAAAAATAACTCTTGCTTTCGCCACATCGGAATGGCGTTGCGCTGTTCCGCCATACATATCAGTAGTGACAGGGTGCCACAAGTCGATGACAAAATGAAATGTTGAAATTTCTGTGGTGGCAATCGTCCATACTATTCGTCCTTGATTTTTGTCAGGTCATCTGAAGTCATTATAGCGGGGTAGTGGATATTGTAAAATTTATTTTTGAGGGCTCTATTCGGGGATGGACTCTAATCGGGAAAATCCGTTAATTAAGAAAGCCTAGAATTTTAGATACTCGATCGATCGTCTCATGTTCCATCCAGAGGATACAGCTTTTCCACGACTCGATCGTTGGTTTGACTAGAAGTGCGACCAACGCGTATATTCAATTTGAGAATTTATAAGAAGCGACGGCCTAAACAACTAGGCTAACCGACATGCAATCGCAGTGCAGGACAAGGTTCTTCAGGTCAGGGACGCAAACCAATCGGCACTATTTTGGCATTTGCAGTCAAAGCGCCCAACAGCCGTCGCCTTTACATCTTTAGCAACTACTTGATGAGACGTCATCTTTCTTGAAAGGATAAGAAGCCCGTCCTGGATAAGCATTTCCAGATCCTTGATTAAATTAAAAGAAATTTGCGCTTGCGAGGAATTTCAACATTCGAATCCAGATCATTATCGACGTCTTTGGCCGCGACGCATGTATCACTTAACTCACGCCACTGAAGGTGTTTCGACACGACATTTCCCATGTCTATGCACTGTCTAAAGAGCTCATCTATACAGGCATCACCAAATCAGGCTCGTTCAAGCAAAGCATTTCTACAAGCGTACCTGCGATCGTAATGTACTTGAACGGCTCTTGTCCAAAGTTTAAGTGCAACGCGTCATATGAGTCCAATCCAACAGCTGGGTACCACTCTTGATGCTCACACTCCATATACGCTCCATGAGTTCCACCATGAATGAGCCTGCCGTTATTTGCGAAAAACGCTTGAGCTGCTCCGGTTCTCATGTCAACGCGAATGCCGCACCCAACTGTACAATTAGCCCTGAAAGTCGGACCTAAAGGCCGGCCCAGCTGATACATCACGATAAGCATCATATCAACAAAGGCTTAAATCACCACCGATCATCACCAACCTCAAACGAAGTGCCGTGGTAGAAACAGCCGTCGTCACCATGGTATCCGTATGAAGTTCGGGTCCATCCTGGTTGCTTGCCCACCAGTGGAAATCTTGAGCTCACGAGACCAATTGACGTCATAGCTTCATGTTCAAGTTCAGAAAGATTTGTTATATTTCGATGCTGGCGTTTCGACAAGCTAAGCTCGAAGTATCCTCCTGAGACTACGCCGACTTCGTATACTGGTCGTGACTGTCCAGCTTCATGACCATCTTCATGTAAGTTCCGCTTGATAACTGCAACGTAAAATGTGGTCAAGAATGGCAAATTCGCTCGAACACATCGATCGTCTCCCAGAACTACGCCATCTAGAGCAAAGTCGACAGGTTTCAATTGACTTGTGTATGGTGCATCTAAAGAAATAATTCTAGCGATAGCTAATTAGAATAGATCACTTCCAGCTAAGAAAATGGAAGCAACACCTGTGATCAGCCTTTTTGTAACCTGAAGCTTTTTGTGTCTGCCTGATATCAGCAAAGGAAGGCACGGGTTTGATGGCATGGGTCAGCAATTGCAATTTGCGACTTAAAGTACACGAGCTGCATACCAAACAATCGTGTCAGCTCCTGGTTTTTCTTCCATATATGCATATATATTGGTAGTCAATAACGGACGTAGGGAAGAGGGCATCCAAATATTTGTTAATTTGCACCGGCACGTCGCCGTCCAACTGAAAGTTTAACGCTTCCCAGCGCTGACGAAAGATATGCTCCCATATGCTCGGGTAGAACGGAATCACGTCTCGGGCGACCACAGGTGAAGCCACAGTGATTGATTCGACGTCGCTTGGCAAGGCGAATGTCAAGATGTACGCCAAAGTCTCGTAGCCTAGGTTTGAAAGACTGGTTACCATACTAGAAAATTTGAGAGTGTGATACGAGTATTATCAGATTTGGCTTAAAATCATCTTCTTGGTGGTAGGCCTATTTATGTCAAGCGAATTAACTACTCACCTTCTAAATCAAGTATATAACGAGCATGTCCATCATAAAAAATGCAAATTCGTCCAATCACTTAGAAGTAAAAAAAGCGCCATAAAGCTTAAATACGAAATAATACCATGGCGTATCGTGGCCACTACAAATAATTTGACACTGATAAACGATTTTTGCTAAATTTCAATTTATACCATTTTATATGCTCGAGGAGCGTGTACGGTGTCGATGTAGATATTGCCGCACTTTTCGAGCTTCAACTTTTACACGCAGTTCGCTTGATTCGCGTTGAGCCTCTATGAGTTCGTCTGATAGTCGGTAATTTTGCAGCTTGAGCATGCGCACCTGGTTTTGCAACTCGGCAATTGTACGACTGTTTGACAAAGAAAGTGACGACGCAGAAGATGGAGCGGAGACTCGAATCGACTTTAGTGCTGCGTTGACTGTGAACGCAAGATCGTCGCGAAGGCGAAGCTATAAAATAACTTTTGTAAGAAATTGATGAGATCTGCATGCGACATCTTGCAGAAATTTGCAAACCTGCTTTTGATGGTCAATTTGTGCTGGGAGTGGGTTGGCTTGGTCAGAACTTATTGACGTGGATATGACTACCTATATAGCAACGCATGTAATTGTCACGATACTTGGTAACGCTATAAACAAAGTGTACCTCAGCACTGATATCTGCCGTCTTATAGCTGGTCCAAACCAGTGCCGCCAGCTGTCAAAATTTGATTCATCTTACTGTCCATGAATTTTAGAAAAGGGTGATAGTGAACAAACCTCTCGTTTTTTTTTCTTCGAGTGTAGATCAATTCCAATTCTCAGATAGTATTCCTCTACTGCGGAAGCTTGAGTGTGGTATTTGAGTCCTTTGTATATGTTGCCCCGTTCTTCTTTGATTCTTTTGGTAGCCTGTCGAGATTAAAGTCGTCAGTTCCATTTGTGGCGCTGAAAATCTTTCTTACTTACAACATCCTTCAAAGTCTTCTGATGACCTCTCCCTCTCGAGTTCAAAATGTGTTTCATGGCAGTAAATCGAGATAAGCGAACTTCATTCTCCTTTTTCCTGTTTTGTGTATGTACTGCAAAATGCCGGCGCAGTTCCGGAGTCATTGGAAGTAACTTTCCTTCAGAGAAACAGGCATTCAGCCGATTTTTTTCCTCATGAAAGACCTAAGCTCACGCACAGACATACTTCTAAACCTCAACCTTGCGATTGTATTTGGCTAAACAAAACTTACTCCGATAGTGAAAAAGTCTGTTCGGTTGTAGGTGAGCCAGAATTTGGATCGATGTAGCAGTGGCGTATCACACAATTCCCACAAATCATAAACCGTTCGGCGACTTTCCTCTAGTATTCCAATTTTCCACCTGTAATTACATGGTGAGACATTGCGTAAGAGAAGGACATTCATGCCAAAGCACGTACTTAGTCGTATGCTGTCGAGATAAGAAGCCTCTGATACAGCTTTGAGTCCGAACAACCTGAGATTTCAGTTTCTTGTAATTGCGTTTGTAAAAGCTTCCACGCCATAGTGCTTGGAGGCAATAGAAGCCTCGAATCATGCGCCGATAGCGTGCGTAGACTATATAGCCCTTAGCCAAAAGTTGTAATTTGAGCAGAGCCACACGTTGCCTTCGAAAGTTCAAGACTGCATGATGTGTGCGGTAGATTTTTTGAATCATGATCGCTCCATTCTTTAGCGCTAAAAAGTGTTGTCGATCATCTCTTCCCTATAACAAACAGTCGATAAGTATAGGACAGTCTCCATATCTTAAGAGATTTACAACCTTTATCTGCGCATTTACCCATCTTTGAATCGATATTGCAGCAATTCTTTTTCTACAATATTTCCTTCTTGCACTGTACATTCGAAACTGTGTTTGCAGCTGTCGATTTACCATTCCTTGTAAGATTCTGAGCACATACTTTGTCCAGTTACAAGTTACAAGCAACTAGCAGGCGTACAGTGATGATGAGATGACGTGTGGTTTCCCAGCTCGGGCCATTTCCGATAAATGACCTACATTGTCACGATTAGTTGAATCCAATGACCCCAAATTTGACTTAAGCAACTGTGCTTAGACATTCACCTTGCCGTCTTGAACATTCCATAGTATAAACTCACACGAGATACATTACGCTGCTGCTCCCGAGAACTATACAGTTCACGAGGCTTTCTGACGTTGCCAAATAAATTTCTGAACAAATAAAAAAGTAACATTTCTGGCGCCTGGATGAAGGCTCGAATATAAACTTACTTCTTCAGTCGGGGAAATGCTTTATACTGCCCATTTTAAAAGCAAGTAAATATCTTGAAGCAAATAAACACCCTAGCGAGAGCATACGATGTGCATCGTACCTTGTAAACCGTTCCGTTATCAGGAAGGCCGATATTTGACGGAGGTGGTGCAATAAACGTTTCTTGGATGTCTTCCGAGCGATCTTCTAAGAAACTGCAATCGTATTTCTTCTTTCCAATCTTCAGTGAGCGATTAAGCTTCTGATTAATCGACTGGTCAAAAAAAAGCACTTCTGGAAGTTGGTAATTGTAGACACGGTCTTCAATGAAACGATCGAACATTTGCGTTGCAATCAGCTGCGCAACGAAAGGACGAGATGCAGCATCAAAGTTGTCGTGGAGGAACCGCTTGCTCTCAAAAAGTGCTGGTGTTTCCGGCTGTCCTTGCGGAGCAGGCTCCTACAGTCCACAAATAATCGTTATCCTTTACTCTATCTTGACACCCGGCACTAAAGACAAATTCTACCAAGTAGCTCGCATATTTCTTAAAGATTGTCACGAAAAAACGTAAAAAGGCTGTGCGGACACCCCTGGCAGAAAAATGCTCTGTTTCGTTGTATCGGGTGTCGGTAAGCCCCCCGCTTGCATCGTTGTCAATTGATGGCATCGCTGATACCATGACGATGTGACGATCAAGTCCAGGAATTGATTGAGGTAATAATGCCGTAGAGACTGGGGACAGAGATGACAACGAAAGATTGAAAGCGGAATTTGATTTTCTTCCTCGCTTGATCTTGCCGATCGCATAATGTGAGTGCAAAGAGTCGGACATACACGATTCTGAAAAAGAAGGCGAAAGAGGTATCGTTTGCCCGTGGTCAGAAGCAAAGTTGCCAATGGGCTCAAGGTATTCCTCGTTCGGAAAGGCCTACAGGATAACAGCTAAGCATACAAAAAGTATAGTTGGCAGACCACGCACCAAATCTACTCGGCTGATTCCTGCAGCATAGGGATCGAATATCTATAAAAGCATTGTTGTCAATCTAGCTAAGCCTTTTTTAAAATCACCGGAGGGCGTACATTTGCAACTTCTGCCAATTTTGCACGTAATTTTGATCCTTCTCGATCTGGCATTTTCGGAATTGTGATAGTCTTGCCCAAGCTATCTACGGCCGGAATGACACTGATAGTAAAGCGACCTCATTAAGACGGAACACCGTTTGATAAAAATTTACGTGCTCACTAACCGGTTGTGGTCAAGATCGACAAAGACAACGCCAGATGTTTGACATGTCACGTGTTTTAAACAATCCGAGTGAGTGCCAACTAGAAAAGGGATCGGTGCCTGCAATTGTAAAAAAATCCCATCAATATCACATTTGAGCACTCCAACTTTCTTGTTTCGACTAACGTCAACTACATCAAGAAGAGAGGTCGGGAGCACTGGGATGTAGGCTCCTTGCCATGACAGTGGCAGCAAAATCGCCAGAAGAGCCTCAGCAATAGGTGTGAGAAGCCCAACATACTTGGAGCATAGCACGACCTAAATATCACACTAAATGAGACCTTTGCTATAAAAAATATGAAGATAATACCTTCAGCTCCAAAGCAACACACGAAAAAACCAAAAGCACATTATTAAGGTCCAAGACCTGAAAAAGAGGTCGAAACGAAAACTGGACATGTTTCATCGTATGTGGCACAAATATTAGCCATGACTAGGAAGCGAACGAAACAAAAGTTTGCGTACATCTGCAAGAGGAAAATCATTCTTTGGAGGGCGAGAAATCATGATATTTCGATCCGGTAAAGTCAGCTGAACTTGAATTCGACCCGGGGGTGGCAGTGGAATTTCTACCAAAAAATTCGCAATGTACCTTTCGATTGGCATTGGAGACTCTGACAGCGTCACTCGATAAATCTAAGAAGATTAAAAAATATAAACGCATTTTTAACAATCTTTCTTCTCACAGAAGTGATTGAGCGTATAATCGCTACCTGTTGAAGAAACTGGCGAAAGGCTGAAAAATAGGGGTAATGTGAAGTAACTAAAATACATTTTGGACAAAACACTGGCCCAGGCGAAGTTGTTGTATTTCCCGAAAGATCTTGAACCCATTGAGGCAACAGATCGCGCTGATTGTCATCATGTTTTTTAGGGCTACCTGAGGGTCGCCGCCGGTGGCGTTGGAGATGACAATGCGGAGCTATCAATGACACGACTTCAAGCGGGTGCAGTTCTTCGTAAAATCTCAGTGTGCAAGCGTAAATCTTGATGCCATTTACATTTGTAAGAACAAACGAAAACAAAACTGGTGCAATGTAAGATTTGCTTAGAAAGAATCCCTCCGGAAATGCAAATTCAGCAATATGTGCTTGCAGTGGTGAGTCTCGAAGCGTATCGGGGAACATGTCAAGTACAGCCGGAAAAAATCGAATGTCAGTTGGGCTCGCCGTTTTTTCAACTATTTAAAACATACAACAAAACCTAAGCTTTATCACCCTTCTTCTCCACGAGTCATGACAAACACTTACTGTTTTGGTCTGGTATCAATGCACCGCGGCCAAGCACGACAAAATAGTTAAGAAAACGCTTTGTCACTTCCACAACACTTCCTGGCTTAACCGATGCAGGATCAACATTTAATTTATGAGTTTTGCCTGGTCTTTGTTGCTGTTTCTGGCCCATTAGGGGTTTAGACGATGAATTCAGAGATTCATCAAGCGTCATGGCTCCGACTTGATCGCCGCCTAAACCAGCACTTAGCTCATCGGTACTTTCTGGCTGAATCTCTCGGTTATCTTTATCAGGCATCTTAGTGAACTGCTTAATTTCGTACTTCGCACGAATGAACCTTTCACGAGCATCTGTGGTAGTATAAGGTAAGAGCTCCAGTGACGGGTCCACCTTAAGCCACTTGTCAAGAAATTTGTTGTAAATTTCATTGACATGTTTATTGCCACCTCTCATTGCTACAACTTCCTCGTCGGTCCAAGTATCGAGATGGAGGGACTTTACCCTCGATAATTGAACGCCAAGTTTGCGGTGAGCACCCGCACAGTGAATGCAAAGAAAAGCACCGATAGTCGTGCTTGCCCAAATAGTGTCGTTAAAACGCGATGAGCAATCTGCACAGCCCTGATTTTCTGAGCTCGAATGCATTATTTCGCTAAGCTTCCGTAAAGATTGTTGTTGCACCACAGGCGATTTGTGATCAGGTTTCGGACGCGTGAACGTCATAATCTCTAGTCGACTCCGTTGTGCTCTATCGAACAAAGTCAACCACGAAACAGTCTTCAAACTTGTGATTGTCTTGCTGTTGCGGCTATTATATATACTAGTCGACAATAGTGAAGCTCACTGTGGCGAAACCGCTCATTTATTAAGAACGCATCATATGCGCCGGCGAGAATGAATGTGCGACTGCAACATAGTGTGTCCCACGCTATGTTGCTTGAAATTTATTGCCGGTCCGCGTCCCTTTCCAAATCACGGTCAATCGAACCGCGATTGAATGCAAAGAGCCAATCAGATGCTGAAGCTCGAGTGGTTGGACCTGACAGGTGCTTTCAAGCCAAAACACCTGCAGTACGGAACTGCTACAAAACTCCCAAGACACCATGGGCATGTAAGTAATTAGTCAAGGAAGTGAAATGAAGATTGAGACATCTGTGCCTGCTGCGCTTCCGTGCTGCATACTGGATTCTAAAACAGACTAAATGTGGGATAAGAGCTGGTGGACAAATGCCGCGCTCATTGAGCTTAACCACGAAATGGATGTACTGTACAGCAAATGCAGCGCAGAGGCGACAGGGGCATGATGCAGCAGAAAAAAATATATGATTCTGATTCGATCGTGTAACGCTCTGTAGTGTAAAGAATGGAAAGGTTGTTGTCTTGCTCAATGGTCGCTTTGCTGGACGCAAAGCTATCGTTGTGAAGACGTTTGACGAAGGCAAGGGAGACCGCAAGTTTGGCCATGCCATTGGTATGATACTTGTTACAGGGTACACTGATCTGTTGAAAAATGAATTACAGTTTTTTCGATTTTTTCTGATTGTGCAGTTGCTGGTATTGATCGCTACCCGCGCAAGGTAACCCGTGCGATGAGCAAGGCCAAGTTGCTGAGGCGCTCTAAGGTCAAACCGTTTGTCAAGTATGTCAACTACAACCACATTATGCCCACTCGCTACGTCGCTGATATTGACCTGAAGAAGGTCCTTGACGACGAAGTGCTGGCCAACCCAGAGACCCGCATTGAGTCGCGCAAGACCATAAAGAAGGTCTTTGAGGAGCGGTACGTTCTTGCCGTAACAAAAATTTCTATTTGGCTAGCCTGACATTTTATTATGAATGTAAAGCTACCTAAACCAGGCCGCGTGCAAGTCAGAGAAGAAAGCTGCAGGGGTCAGCTTTTTCTTCAAGAAAC